TACAGTATGAAAGACAGGAATGGGAACACCCCAAGAAGTATGATTTAAATTCAGCTGGATCAGTCAAGTGATGGGATATTATTCATATTTTAAAAATGATCTGATCATACATCAAATTCATGAGTCTCAACGAACACCTAACACCATAGGTTAGTGCTTATATTTAATAGGGTATACTATTTCTTCTACTTCTGAATGTAAACATGAAATAAATAAATTCTACATACAAGTGAAAGCATCTTTCAAAAATACTATGAAAACTGATCTTCCACAAAGCTAACAGTAAATAACCTCTATCAATGCACCAAAATGGAAGTAAACAGATCAAGTGGAACTTTTATGTGGATACAGCTTTTAAAATTTACATTCAAAACACTTTCAGACAACTGAAAGGTGGTATAACATACTCTACAAGGAAGACACAAGGGTTCCTACAAATACCAGAGTGACCTTGAAATCACAGATTTCAAATACCTCAAAGCTAATCTCATAGTTGCACCTTCTGCAGCTTGTACTGCTCTAAAATTTTATTTTCCTGCATTCACCAAAATCTGGAAGTGTCTAGTTTACGGCTTTCACTGAATTTTGAAAATGTCTAGTAGGTCAATAACAATAACTTCCTTAACAAGGTAAGGGTAAAGCTTCCAGTAGACTGTAATAATGATGACTGCTGTTCACTAAGTAATTGAGAGCCAGGCCATGGTGATACCTGAGATCAGGAGAGGCCAATATCAAGTCAGTGACATGTGCACCTGCAAGTGGGTGGTCCAATTAGTGATATAAAGCCAAAACACAGGCCACTCACCAGCTCCATTAAGGCACAAGTGAGAAGGAATATTGTCTACTGACAATTGCTGCCACAGCAGGCAGCTACATGTAATGTAGCTTGTTGCATCCACCAGATACCGTCTCCTTCACTGTCTTAAAACCTCTTTGGTATAGGGAAGACACCTGTCACAGGCAGGCCTACTGATTCCTTCCTCTGAAGGATTATCATCATTCCATATTAAACACCTTTCAAAAAGGTAATATCTACACGTTATCGCATATTTTGACTTAACAACATTACACTTTTCAAAGATCAAAATGTTACAGCACAAATATAACCATATTGGGTGATATTTTGTACTTCTTGGGCTTGGTCCAGTAACAAAAAATAGAAATTGCTGTGTAACAAACAACAAAAATAATCTTATATTGTGAATAAATCAAAAATCTTCCACATGTATTAAAACCAGATATGCTACCTTTTAAAAAATCATGGAATTTCAGGGTAAGTTTGAGTAGTACAAGACACATTGCTAGAAATCGAATATATTCTCTCATGTCCTCTAAGGGTCACATGCCATAAATCAACAGCATCAGTGGCATAATGTGTGGCTTCGAACCAATCAGCCAGGATATTATTCTTTGCAAAATATAACAGCTCTTTCACTCTGTACTGGGGAGAGTCAGAGGCTCCCTGAAGGCACCCAAAGAGTTTTGGATTGTTCTTGGTCCACACACGACTTCACTTGAGTACTGATGTACGGCATGTTGACAGCGGCAGGGATCACAGCTGGGGAAAACATAACATTTGTAACACTTAAGAAAACTTCTACAATATAATGCATGAAGACCCTTACTAATGTAGTATTCTTTGAAAACATATGTAATATAATTCATGAAGACCCATACAAATGTAGTATTCTTTTCTTATCTATTTTTTTTCCTAAATTCAACATTTATATTACTGAAATAAAGAGAATAAAAGAAATGTAGTAAAAATAAGGAGAGAAAACAGGAAAAAAAAAGGAAACACTATTAATCAAAGAAGCATAAAGAATAACAGGACAAATATACATTACCTGATATAACATGCTTATATTCTTGTTCCATTTTGTTAGCCAGTTCAAACATCTCTTTGGCTTCTTTTTGCGAGATCCTTTCCGAAGAAGTCAGGTGCGAATCACAAACTTCACGGATCTGCTTATGATGGCGGAACTTGAGCAGCAAGACGATGGGGTATATATTGTGGCGGTGCAAACGTTCCACGGATGAAAGGCTGATGTCCAGTATTCCATGGCAACTCTATTGAAAAAGAAAAGAAAAAAGAAAAAAAAAAATTATAATTCACATTTTCAACAAAATATTCACAAACAATGTAAGATACTCAATAATAATTCTATCTGCTGTGCTGAAATTCCCTGCCAAAGGCGTGATATACACATTAATATTTGCAAAGTCACTCTGTTCTACAAATTGAAGAGTAATTATATCAATCCCAGGATGCCTCTGCTTCTCTCGCAAGTTCTACTCTTACTTTTGAGATCTAATGCCGTTCTTGGAAATAAAATTCATGTTTAATTAAAGAATAATTATGGTAACAGCATTCTAGTTTTTATGTTCATGTGTATTCATTTCTTTTCACTTATTTGATTTTTTCTCTCTCTATCTCTGTGATAGACAGAAAAGACAACCACACACACACATAAATACAAATAAATATAATATAATATATATAATATATATATATATATATATATATATATATATATATATATATATATATATATATATATATATATATATATATATACACATATATGCATACACACATATATATATATATGTATATATGTGAATATATGTGTAGGTAGAAAAACCTACAATACAGACCTGAAGATGGAATCCAGGTGGATTTTGAAACTAGTCTCATTTTCAGTAAATCTAGCTTTTTTATTGTGGGCTTTTCTACCATAGTATCCATATGGAAGTGTGTTTTACCATTCATGTGTACATATGTGTATATGTGTATATGTGTATATATGTGTATATATGTGTATATATATGTATATATATGTATATATATGTATATATATGTATATATATGTATATATATGTATATATATGTATATATATACATATCTATACATGTATACATATATATATACATATGTACACATACATACATATACACATATGTATATGTATGTACACATATATATAATATAGACACACACATAAATATAAATAATGTCCATCCAACAAAGTATAGCCCTGAGGTAATCAATTACAAAGGGAAAATTTATGGCTTTTTACAACTGGCATTGAAAATTGGTGTAAAACTGGTTATCATCTGCAAGCAAAAGGAGGTTACACTTACAGATGAAAATGACTGAAATATAAAAAGAACTAAATAATATCAACAAGGCACATGCAAAAAATCAGTTGAGTGTATGCCAGCCACAGCTTATCAGCAAGATGAAGTATTTGTAATATGGTGATGTATAAGCAGATATAAAGTCCAGAAGAGTAATGTTGCTTTGTGTGCAGCAATAACAACAATCATTGTTCAGAACTAGTGACAGCAGCAAAACCTTTACAAAGTTACAAAATATCATTTAATCATGAAATGCTCGTTCTATCTCGAAACAAACTAACAAAAACGACAGACATGCAGGCAGACAGGCAGACAGACAGACAGACAGACAGACAGATGCACACGCACGCACAGAGAGAGAGAGAGAGAGAGAGAGAGAGAGAGAGAGAGAGAGAGAGAGAGAGAGAGAGAGAGAGAGAGAGAGAGAGAGAGAGAGAGAGAGAGAGAGAGCGAGCACGCTTGACCGACCAAGAGAGCACTGATTTACCTTATCACATATTTCTTTCACTTGACTGACAGTTGTTGCCTCGAAGTGAGATCCCCTCCGCCGATAGTCTACGATCAGGTTCTTCTGGACTGCAGTATCCATCTCATCACAGGAGAGCCAACTGACCTCTGGCACACATCTTGTAAAATTGTGTGGATAATCATGAACCAGTTTGTCACAGACTATTTCCCACAGTGGACCCACCATCACCACTGGACGACGCACCAGATCTGAAATGAGGAGAGAGAGAGGGATGCAATGGAAGAGCAGTGGTTCGTTGTGTATAAATAATACTCATCAGTTAGTGTAGTTATATTCTTCTATTAGTGCACACAGGTGATGGCTAAAAAGTTCACATGCAACACTTTACAAATACTGTCTATTGACTGAGTTTTCTTCTTATGGAATTCATTATTCACTTGGGAGCAGTAAGTTCCTATCTTGTTCTTTACATATTGTGATGGAAACTTTTAATGAATGATGGGACCTGAAGATGAAATTCAGGAGGATTTCAAAACTGTTGTCTCATTTTCCGATAAACATCTTTTGTGTACAGTGGGTACCATTTCATCAATAATGTTTTGCCAGAATTGTTAACAAATAAATTAATAAAGAATTAAACCATAAACAGTAACTATTGAAAAAAAAGGCATCCCAAACTTAGAATAAAATCCCAAGTTTTCCATGAGGCACTAAAATGCACTTACAGTCTAGCCTTTCCACTCTGATGTAGGAGTGTGGCACAGGCTCTTCATGCATCGGTGTAGACTCTGTGTAAGAGTTGAGAGAGGCATCAGAAAAGCTGGCTAACTCTTTGGAGTCTCTGGATGACGACCGGGAATGTTTTTTGCGCTTGAAGAAGGAGCGTCGGGCAGACGTTGACCCTCTTCGGCTGGAGTCCATCTGGAGGTCACCCACACTTCGCTGCAGCCTCATCTCTTCCTCAACCCTGGGTTATCAAGCAAATTAGTAAAG